TATATCAGCTATTTGTTGCCTGGTTGGAACATAGATTAGCTGGATATCCTTAGCTGCAATCTTCTCAGACAAAAATCTTCTATCTATCTCAATGTGTTTGGTCCTGTCATGATGGACAGGATTCTTAGCAATACTGATAGCAGATTGATTATCACATGAAATCTGGATGGAACTTTCAAATGGAAGTTTGAGCTCATTCATCAATCTTCTTAACCATAACCCTTCACAAATTCCTTGTGCTAAAGCCCTGAGCTCAGATTCTGCACTACTTCTAGAAACTACAGATTGTTTTTTGCTCCTCCAGGTGACTAAGTTACCCCATACATAAGTACAGTAACCAGTAGTTGACCTTCTGTCTAGGAGGCTACCAGCCCAGTCAGCATCAGTAAATACTTCAATCTTTCTAGTCCCCTGTTTCTGAAACAACAATCCTTTTCCAGGAGTCATTTTCAGGTACTTCAGAATTCTGTAGACTGCAGTTAAGTGTTCCTCAGTTGGGTCATTCATGAATTGACTTACCACACTTACTGAGAAAGCAATGTCTGGCCGTGTATGAGATAGATAGATTAGCTTTCCCACCAGCCTTTGATATCTACCCTTATCAACTGGTGGACTTTCAATCTCACTGCCTAACTTCTTCGATATATCCATAGGAGTGTCTAGAGGTTTGCACCCAAGCATTCCAGTTTCACTTAGCAAGTCTAGGACATATTTCCTTTGTGAAATGAAAATGCCCTTCTTAGATCTTGCCACTTCCATTCCCAAGAAGTACTTCAACTCGCCTAGCTCCTTGATTTCAAATTCTCTTGCTAGATGGGCCTTCAATCTGTCCAATTCAGCTTTAAAGTCCCCGGTCATGATAATATCATCGACATATACTATAAGAATAGCTATTTTACCAGAGTCTGCCCTCTTTATAAATAATGTATGGTCTGCTTGACATTGCACGAACCCTTGTTTAATTACTGATCTTGTGAATCTATCAAACCATGCTCTAGGAGACTGCTTTAGTCCATACAAGGACTTTTTCAGTCTGCAAACTTGGCCAGATTTCACCAAGTCTTCTAACCCTGGTGGTACATCCATGAATACTTCCTCTTCTAGGTCTCCATTAAGAAAAGCATTCTTAACATCTAGTTGATGTAATGGCCAGTCTAGGTTCACTGCGAGTGAAAGCAATACTCTAATGGTGTTCAACTTTGCCACTGGTGCAAATGTTTCTGAATAATCAATGCCATAAGTTTGGGTGAACCCCTTAGCAACCAGTCTTGCCTTAAGTCTCTCAATCTTGCCATCAGCCTGATATTTCACTGTAAATACCCACTTGCAGCCAACAGTCCTCTTCCCTGCTGGCAAATCTGTAAGCACCCAAGTTCCATTCTTCTTCAACGCTGCCAGTTCATCATGGACAGCCTTCCTCCACCCTGGATGTTCAAGGGCTTCCTTGATGTTGCTAGGAACCTGAATACTATCAATCTTTGAAATAAAGGTTTGATAGTTTGCTGATAATTTCTTATAACAAAGAAAATTATAGATAGGATGCTTGGTACACTCCCTTACTCCCTTTCTGATAGCAATAGGCAGGTCCTCTTCCTCCTCATCTCCTTCTATAGCCTCAACCTCTTTGTCATCAGGATTTAGATTTGAGTCAGATGATTGGGTGGTGCTAGTTGGAGTGATGTGCTCATCTTCTGGAACTTTGGTTCTAGGTTTCCTCTTGTAGGTATTTTTGTAGAATGTGGAATTTTGATTCAGTGTAAGGTTTTGAGGGGATGAAGGTGGTGGCTGAAGTGGTGAGGTTAATGGAGAGACTGTATTGTCTAGAGGGATTGATTCAGGCTTGTCTGGGATTATGGGTTCAATGTGGTTAAAGTCAGATTCTTGGAGGTCTGGAATAGTGTCTGAAATAGGGTTCAAAGACTGGATTTCATTGTGATTCTCCCCCTGAAATTCAGTTTTGACATAGAAAGGCTGATTTTCAAAAAAGGTTACATCCATTGTGATGTAGACCTTTTTTGTGGTAGGAGAATAACATTTATATCCTTTCTGGTTGGCACCATACCCTATGAACACACAAGGTAAGGATTTGGGATCCAGTTTTGACCTAAGTGGAGAATGGTTGTGAACAAATGCTTTGCAACCAAAGACCTTTGGTGGGAGATTGGTAAGAGGGATGTGAGGGTGTATATTAGATAGGATTTGGTATGGAGTTTTAAACTGATGAATTTTGGAGGGCATCCTATTTATTAGATAAGCTGCAGTTAGGACAGCCTCTCCCCAGTAGTGTTTAGGAGTGTGAGTGGTGAACATAAGGGCTCGAGCAACTTCCAGTAAGTGTCTATTCTTCCTTTCTGCTACCCCATTCTGTTGTGGGGTGTCAACACAGGAGCTAATGTGTATAATCCCCCTTTTTGACAGAAACTCTCCTAAGTTGGATGAGAAATATTCTTTGGCATTATCAGTTTTAAGAACTTGAATCTTGGTTTGAAACTGAGTTTTGATCATAGAATAGAATCTTTGAAAGATACTATTGACTTCTGACTTTTCTTTCATGAGGAAGACCCAGGTTAAGCGTGTATGATCATGAATAAACAGAACAAACCACTTTGAACCAGAGAGATTTTTTACCTTGGATGGCCCCCAAACATCACTGTGGATGAGAGAAAATGGTTTTGATGGTTTGTAAGGTAGACTGGGATAATGACTTCTTGTATGTTTAGCAAGTTGACAAAATTCACAATCAAACATAGAACTTTTATTGATGAATAATGAAGGAAATAATTTTTTCAAGTACAAGACATTAGGATGACCAAGACGATAATGCCATAGCTGAATTTGATCATCAAATTGACTTCTACTAAGACTCCCTAAGAATTTATGGTTGAATTGACTCTCACTGGAAGTTGTCTTGTTGGTAGAATTTGGTAAATGTGGTGAATGTTCCAGAAGATAGAGTCCACCACTTTGCTTAGCACTGCCAATCATCCTCCCCGAATCCAAATCCTGAAATTCACACAATTGGGAAGAGAATTTAGTTAGGCAATGGGAATCATTGTTCAGTTTACTGACTGATAAGAGGTTAAACTTTAAATCTGGAACATATAACACATTTTTAAGCACTATCATATCAGAAATTTTGACTCTTCCAATCCCTTTTATTGCTGAAGTAGTTCCATCAGCAATCTTCACAGTCACATTATTCTTCATAGGGATCAAATCAGCAAAAAACTTACTGTCTCCAGTCATATGGTCTGATGCCCCTGAATCAACAATCCAATGGGGCTGACTTTGAGCAACTAGGGTTGTTAAGGCATTACCTGTCTGGGCAGTAAAGCTAGTTGGTGGTGTAGACCCTTTGTTCTGATTTATTAGGTGTTGAAGAACCTCAATCTGCTCATTGGTAAATGCAGCAGAGTTAGAAGTGCCCATATCTTCTTTATCTCCAGTAGCTACATAGGCTCCTTTCCCTTTGCCTGGTTTGAAATCTTTGGGTTTACCATGCAGAATCCAGCATGTTTCTTTAGTATGGCCTGGTTTCTTACAGTGATCACACCATGGCCTCCCCTTTTTCTTGTTGTCATTCTGTCTGGAAGAAGTATATAAGGCTGAACCTTCAATGCTTGGTTGTTGGCCTTGAGATTTCAGGCCCATCATTACCTTCTTTCTGCTTTCTTCTCTTCTGACTTCTGAGAAAGCTTCTCTAAGGGTGAATTTCTTTCCCATTATTCTCCCCCTAACCTCATCTAGACTCTTGTCCAAGCCTGACAGAAATTTGAAGACTCTCTTCCTCTCACAGATTTCCTGATATAACTTCTTATCCTTAGAACATGACCAGCTATATGTCTCAAACACATCAAGGTGCTGCCAGAGTCTCATAAGGTTGTTAAAGTATTGAGTTACACTCAATTCTCCCTGCTGAAGGTTATATATCATTGATTCAACCTCAAATAATTCAGAAGTGTTATCTGAGGTTGAGTAGGTTTCTTTCACAGCCTCCCAAATCTCTTGAGCTGTTTTGTAGAGTAGAAAATTTTCCCCTATACTGGTTGTCATGGAATTGATGAGCCATGACATCAGTATAGTTCTCCTTTTTCCACTTCTTGTAACCTGGATCTCTTTGATCCGGAGCAGGTGCATCACCTGTCAAATAGTCCTCCTTGTCTTTTCCACACACGTACATCATAACGGACTGGGACCATTGTAGATAATTACTACCATTGAGTTTATGGCAAGTAATAATCGAATCTGATTGATTAGGGATGGTGACTGTGCTTCCATTGATATTCTGGTTGCTGCCATCTCTAGTTGGGACAGCCTCTGAATGTTCAGAGGTGTCTGAGATAGATCCATCTCTCTCGGTGGTCATCCCATATGATCCAAACTTAATCATATTGAGAATAACCACAGCTCTGATACCATGTAGAAAGAACTCGTGAAAAGTAGAATGTATATTATTATTGTTGTTCTATGTAATACAAGGAGAAGACTACATAATATATAGCCAGAGAAGAAAGTAAAATAAGGAAGGAAATCAAGGAATCCTTCTAATTAAGGTTCTCTAATAAAGAAAAGATATATGGGGATATTTAGAGATTCTGAGATCTCCAGGATATCTTCCCATAACTCCTCAATCGGGTGATTAATTAGGATAATCTCTGCAATAATCTACAGTAATCACAGTAAATGGAATCACAGAACTCAGAAACAGTAATTTTCATTGAAACAAGAAGAAAGAGAATATAGTTCCACAGGAGATAAAACTCCAACTGCCCAATCCCAGCCCAAAGCGTCTAACTGCCTGCCTAACTCCCGCAGCTTTTATTCTATTTATACCCTTCCACATCCGGAAGGTAGTTATTAGTCAAAATAGCCCCACTTACTAATAACTAGTATGCTTTGACTTTCTAGAATATACATGCCCTTTATATCTATTACTACTGGATAGACTACCCGGGTACTTATCAGACTCCTATTGTTCTAATTGCCTCTTGGTATTGAGTAGGATGCCATGCCAACTTTTCCTGACAAGGAAGCATTTTCCTGTATTGAGAGGGAGTTGGGATGTCCGCTTGATTCCATCTACTCATCTATATCTGCATATCCTGTGGCTGCAGCCAGTCTGGGCCAAGTGTATAAAGCTCAACTGAAGTATTCCGGTCAGGTTGTTGCTGTTAAGGTTCAACGGCCGGGTGTTGAAGAAACAATAGGATTAGATTTCTACCTTATAAGAGGCTTGGGTTTGCTCATTAATGAATATGTTGACACAATATCCAGTGATGTTGTTGCACTTATTGATGAATTTGCTTGTCGAGTTTATCAAGAGCTCAATTATGTTCAGGTTGGTTTTACAAGCACTTCATTATATTCCCTTAAGACACATTTCTATTAATATTATCATGTTGTTATGTCCTGCAGGTTGGATATGATCTCTTCAAAATAAAACAGCATCTATTATATACTCTTAGGTAAACTCCTACGATGCTTCTGGGTTTGAATGTTAATTTTGACAGGTGTATGCAGGAAGGACAAAATGCAAGAAGGTTTAAGAAGTTATATGCTGACAGAGAAGATGTTTTTGTCCCGGATATTTTCTGGAACTGCACGAGCGGGAAAGTTTTAACTATGGAGTGGGTGGAAGGTGTTAAATTGAATGAGCAAGAGGCCATTGAGAGGCAAGGGCTAAATGTTTTGGATCTGGTGAACACTGGTATCCAGTGTAGTCTCAGACAACTGCTTGAATATGGCTATTTTCATGCAGATCCTCATCCTGGGAATCTCTTGGCAACACCTGATGGGAAGCTTGCTTTTATTGATTTTGGTATGATGAGTGAAACCCCTGAAGAAGCAAGATTTGCCATTATTGGTCATGTCGTTCACATGGTTAATCGGGACTATGAGGCTATGGCTCGCGACTATTATGCATTAGACTTTCTGTCTCCTGATATAGATGTTTCTCCCATTGTGCCAGCACTTCAGAATTTCTTTGATGATGCACTTAACTCCACTGTGAGTGACCTCAACTTTAAAACAATTGTTGATGGCTTGGGTGCTGTGTTGTATCAATACCCTTTTAATGGTAAGCTATGGGTTCACTATCTTTTCTTTGCAGTATATTGTTAATTAATCCTACTTTTTTTTACCAAAAAGAAAATTCGTATTGTAAAAAATTAAACAAGTTGCTTTATACATGTATATAAACAAATTCAGTCACTTGCTTTATTTCTCACATCTCTGATTTGTGACTCAATTGGCTGATTTTTTTGGCAGTTCCAGCGTATTATGCATTGATTCTAAGGTCCCTCACCGTTTTAGAAGGCTTAGCTCTAAATGCCGACCCCAAGTTTAAAGTGCTGGCTGCATCATATCCATATTTTGCTAAGAGGCTTCTTACTGATCCGAACCCATACCTTAGAGATGCTCTCATTGAGCTGCTTTTCAAGGAAGGAAAGTTCAGGTCTGCAGTTCGATGCCCATTCTCCTGTTTCCATCTTTGTAAGTACTTGATGACCTCTTGCTGTCTAGGTAGCTCATGACCTCTTGCTTTGCTGTAGGTGGAGTAGACTTGAAAACCTGCTTGTGCAGGGAAAGAAGGATCAAGATTTTTCTGCAAAAGATGCTTTACAGCCTCTCCTAAAGTTATTATTGGGTCCAGACGGCGATGAGTTACGGGGTTTGGTGACTAAAGAGGCTATCCGTGTCACTGAAGCTGTCATTCTAGGATCAATTATTGAATCATATAACCTCATCCCTGGTCCCATGAGATCTATCTTCAATAGCAGTGCAGTTGGTCTTCTTGTAGTGAATACTGAAGAAGAGAAAAATATGATAGATCTCAGGGCACAAGTAATCAGGATATGGGGTCTTTTGCAATCCTCAGAGGGTTTTGACCCAAGTCTTCTACAACCAATTTTACAGGTAGGCTATATTTAGACTGAATATCTGTCTCCAAGACTTGAATTTGCATTCTAAGCTCTGAGCTCTGTAAATGTATATAAAATGGAAAAATTGACCTGTCCAAACCTCTTGCTTGAGTCCCTTGATGAAATACTGTAAAGTCTCTACAGTCTTCTAAGATTACGTTGGCCTTTGTTTCTAATTAAAAGCCTAAAGTCTTAAATCGGCTGACTCTGCATAACTAGACTCTCTGCGTCTCAGAGTCTCAACAGTCCTCTAAGATTACTTTGGGCTTTGATTTTAATTAAAAGCCTAAAGTCTTAAATCGGCAACTGCAGTTAGACTGGCAAAAAATCAGCGATGCCCAAGGCACACCTGGACGACAACTAGACAACGCTAGGGTCGCCTACTCTTCTTTTGGCAAGGTGAGGGAACCCGGTGACCACTCCCTAGTGTCAGGACCCCTAGTTGCCGACTAGGCGACGCCTAAGCGACGCTGTGACAAGTATGGTTGCTAAGCAGTAAGCACTGGGTGTCCTACTCAATAGACCTATTTGCTTCTAGGCACATATTCATCTCATGTGCTCTCATTATGACAGAGAAAGGCAATATATCACTTTGATACGTTTGCAGAAAATTGGAGTAGAAATATTATTGATATCGTCAAGGTTCAAAATTGCGCAATAGAATCCCGCAATGAGGCGCGCCTCGCAGATTTCTGGCAATCTGCGTTGAGAGGTGTATCCCGTTTAACGCCATAGGAAAAACTACGTCTTTTGGCCTGAGGCGTACGCAATAAGGCGACGCGTAATCGTATGCAATGGAAAGTCAGCGCTGCTTAGCAATAATTGACCCAAAAAGTATTTCAATTATTGAAATAACCCAGCCCATCCATTCATCTGTGTCCCACGTTAAAAAACAAACCTGTCGTATTACCGCTCTGTTCTTCGCTCGTTTGGTCTGCATTGGAGAAGCTCCTCCGCCTCTGTATGTTAGGACTCAAATAGAGTAGCACTAATAATAATAAATGATAGTAATAATAATATTAGAATAGCGAGTATAAATAGAGGCTGTGGGTAGATTAGAGAGGAGGCTGGTTTTATCTTGGACTTGGGATATCGGGAGCTGGCATTCTCTAACTGCCTTTGTATTTCTCTTCTCTGTTAATCGACCTTCTTCAGACAGTTCATTCTTTCTTCATCTTTCTTTTCTTGAATTTACTCTGAAATTAGCTAGATACCTAACATTGGTATCAGAGCTGTTCTTGTTACCTGTTAATGGTTGCCATTAGAGGAACGATGGAAGCTAGGCTGGAAAATTTTAAACGTCGATGTGAGCTCTTGGGGAAGATTTTTGTCCAGATTTATTTGGCAGCGGATTTAGTTTATTCAGTAGAAGATATGTCAATGTTACTATTTTACTTGCAAGTTCATGTCTTAGTTTTTTCACTTGCATTTGTTTGATTGAGTTTCATGCCAAATAATTGATCATAAATAAAACCATGGTTTAACATTAGTTTACAATGTTAACTAATTGTAGTTAAGTAATTGATATTTAATGACTAGATACTTCAAGAACCTGAGGCACGCCACATTGGAGGACGTGTGGTGGGTGGAATAAGCCAACGCCTTGCTGCACGATTTCTGCAACAAGTTCTTCGTGCTCGTGCATAGGAAGATCATGTCAGTATAATATTACTGCTGCTGTAAATTTATTGTTATCAATATGAAATGACCTTCAAGCAAGCAAATAGATATTGTACACGTTTTTATATTATTACTCTCTGGATGAGAATAGTAGATTAGTAGATATAAACATTTGTTGTGCTTCAACCTAATGAAATGTAATGCTAGTTAACCAACTATTAGGTTTCTGACTAGTCCAGAATAAGAATGGTCACAATCCCCAGATTTGTTCCGGACTTCTAATTATAGAATTTGTGGATTGGTTCCCCTAAGCCACCTTCCAGGTCGCCCATTCCTGGTTCCCGAAATGGCAGTCCCAGCCTGAACCATAATTGTGTTCACCCATGGTATGGATGAATCGTCTGCTACCATCAGATTTTAATTTTCCAGGTTTTGTTTTGAATTCCTTGTGTCTTTATTATGCCTAGTGAACCAGTTTGGCTCTGGGTTACCCAGTCGGTTCTGGGTTTCCAGTATGGTTACGAGTTAGAATTGTACATTAATTAAAATATTGAAGAATATATTAGAGAAATACGAAGTATGTATTCAACTATTCATCATCATCATGACCCCAGTGCCGCAAAGGCTCCCACCAACGGTGGGGTACGGGGTGGGGGGGTGGGGGTCGGTCGGATGTATGCAGTCATACCCAAAGTGAAAATTGCGTCGAAAATTACAAGACTGGCAGCTGCTTCATAACAAAGAAGCGCAGAAAGTTTAGTGAGCCATTTTGCTATATTCCATCACTCCCAAGCCAAAAATAGTGAGTATTTTGGTTTCATTGCAAATGATGAAAAAATACGATGTATTAAAGCATTAAAATAGTATACACAAACTATGGACATACTATTTTTAAGAAATATTAAGCACTAAAAAGTTAGCTAAAGATGCCCCTAATTTTTCTTTAGTGTCAATTGTCAAAGATACCAGAGTTAGTAGCGTTGTTATTTTTACATTAATATTAATTAAGTAGGAGTGCAACCAGTCCGGCCTGGCCCGGTCTTGAACCATGTACGGGGCTGTTCGGGGTAGGATAGGGCATGTGTTTCCGGTCTTGGTTCAAGTCCGGGTACCCGAATGGGGAATCGGCAGGCCGGTCCCGAGTTTGAATTTTGGGGACTAGATCTGGCAGTTCCGGTTCTGGCTAACCAATTTTTTGCCTTGGAAAAATAAAAATAAAATATAATCAAATTGGGTCTGATTGGGAATTGGAATTGGACTGTTCGGGTATCCGGAACCGTGTTAGATTCAGATTTAATTGGATTAGACCCGGGCTTCCCTTAGCACTGGTCGGGACTAGGGTTGGATTCGGGACGGGTCGGGTCCGGCCTGGGCCTAGGCCTCGGGTCCGGGCCGCCGGTTCTGAATAGGTGGGCATGGGACCGGCCCGGGTAGCCACCGGGTCCGGTCGGGTCCGGTCCGGGCCTCGGGTCAATTTTTTTTTCCGTTTCCTAATTAACCCCCCCCCCCCCCCCCCCCAACCCCCCAAACCACCCCAAATGGCCCAAAATACTCGGCCTAACCCGAAAAGTTAAAAAAAATTGAAAAAAAAAATAAAAAGCCCGGAATTGGGCCTGAACCGGCCGGTTCGGCTTTTGGGTGACCCAAGCCCGCACCGAGAACCCCCTGGGCCGGGCCTACCCGGACCGGTCACTGTCCAGGCCATTGGGCCGGGCTGGTTCAGCACAGTACCAGTCCCGGGCCGGTTCCAGGTCGGGCCACCCGGCCCGAGTCCAGGACTAATCGGGACTGACTGATTCAGGACTGGTCCAAGTTCACTCCTAGTTTTAATGTTAATACAACATTTAAACCTTATTCTCAAAAGACTTTGGGGTTAGCTAATATGAATCAATGAATGATTAGTTTTAATGTTAATACGCAAAATAAATCTACTAGTGACTGATGTCTGATGGTATGATAGTTCGTCTTTTGTTGGTGCTTTGGTTTTAATCAAGTATAACAATATAAATGAGGGTATCAAGTGATTGCACACTTGGTCGGCTTTTGTAATCAAAGAACTTTATAATAGAATAGGATTATTTTAAAAAAAATAGAATAGGATTATTTATGTATTTTTATTTAAACTCTCCCTATAAATATACCTGCCAGGGCTCTTTACACAGCATCACGTTCCATTCTCTAACATGGTATCAAGAGCACAGACAAAATCCTATTTTTTTTTTGTTTCGGTCCAACCTCTCTGCGCGGATGACTTCCTCCGGCTTTACCGCTTCCGCAGCTTCCTCTTCTATGGCGGTTCCCTCCGCCATGAACAATATCTCATCCGTTGTAGCCATAATGACCAGCGCTCTTTCCGCAGGACCGCTGCTGGCCATATGCTCAGTCGATTCCGGCGTCACCTTCTCTTCCAGCTTCGCATCGCCAAACCGCACCATCGTGCTGTACTCTCTCTTCCAGAATCTATCGCCGGTATTTCCTTGGCTGGCTCCATCTCAGGTGCAGTCCGTGACCTTGGATCCACCCCCTTCTCTTCCGGCTCCTTTTCTGGTCCTACGTTCGTCGGCTCGCCTGGGGTATCCTCCACCCTTCCGCCTCTTCGCACAGCATCACTCAACAAAGTCGGGTCCCCTCTGGACGAATTGGATCAAACCATCTCTCATGTGGGTACCGACGTCACCAACATTGTTACTACCGAACTTTTGGCTGTGGAAGATTATACTACATGGCATACCCAGTTGGAGTCTTTTCTTGTGTCGCAAGGCCTTCTGGGCATGGATGATGGCTCTATTCAGGTCCCCCCACCCCGCTTATTTCGTAGATATTTTAAATTGTCAAATTCCCAATCCCGAATATTCTACTTGATTGCGAATTGATCAAACGATTCTTTCGTGGTTGTTTGCAACTCTTTCTCGTGATGTTCTTATTGATGTTCGAGATTTAAAACATTCTTGTGAAATTTGGGAACGGTTAGAATCTTGATTCATGTATGCTAGTTTAGCTAGATCTATGGAATTAAAGCGTCTGCTATCTCAAATTAAAAAGAAACCTGATCAGTCTATGGATAATCATTTGAGAGAGATTAAAATTTTGGTTGATGATCTTGCCACTATTAACTGCCCATTCCTCCGCGTGAACGGCTGAAATCCACTATTATGGGGTTGGGACCTGAGTATGAGTGTTTGTTCACGACAGTGTCTTTATTTCCTCAAAATTTTCCCTTTGAGACACTTCGTACTCATCTTCTTGAGCAAGAGCAGCGAGTTCTTTACCAGGGGTCCCAGGAGCCCCCTCTTTGCGCCAGGCATTCGATGCTCATGTTCCGCAGCCCAGGCAACAGACTGGTCAGCAGCTGGGCGTCCAGTAGGTGCAGTGCCCTCAAGCTTATCCACCGTGTGGCCGAGGCGGACGAGGCCGGGGTGGCAGAGGCCGCAATGTCCATGGGTGTGGTCGCGGTCATCAACCGGCTCATTACGGTTAGCTGGTAGTTTGGTATCCGCTGCAGGGTCAGCCGCCAGCTTATGCAGCCGCGGGGTGGTGGTGGTCTGGTTCCAGGTGGGTATACTCCACAGGCAGGGGGTGTGCCTCCAACAGGTACTGTCATTTGTAATTCTACTGTGTCACATTTAAATATGGGAAAACTGTCAAATAGGTCCTCGAACTTTCATAAAAAGGTCAATTAAGTCCTTCTATAGGAGGTTCTGTCCGGCCGTCGCGATTTGGGGCAGTTCCCGGTGGAATTTTTTGATGAAATTTTTTGATCATCTTATTCACCAAGTCTAGTTTACTCATACCAAATTTCAGCTAAAAATTCAACCGGGAACACATTCAAGTTAATTCTTGAAGATAACTGCGCATTTTTGCGTTCTCGAATTAATTTGAATGCGCTCCCGATTAAATTTTTAGCTGAAATTTGGTATGAGTAAACTAGACTTGATGAATAAGATGCTCAAAAAATTTCATCAAAAAATTCCACCGGGAATCACCCCAAATCGCGACGACCGGACAGAGTCTCCTATAGAAGGACTTAATTGACTTTTTTATGAAAGTTCGAGGACCTATTTGACAGTTTTCCCTTTAAATATTAATGCATTACCTATTTGTGCTACTAACCCTGGTTCCGCAGGCTTGCCATTAGATGAGGGTATTCTTGGGCAAGTTCCTCATCCTGTTGTGTGTCAAATTTGTTTTTTTTTTTGCAGGTCACTCTGCTATTGCTTGTCCCTCTCGTTTCACACAGTCGTCTGCTCCTGCTTTGTTGACTACCTCTGGTGAATCTAATTTTGCATTATGGTATCCCAATTCAGGAGCTTCTGCCCTTATGACAACATAAGAAGGTATTATAATTAATAAATCTACTTACTCTGGCTCTACATCAGTTAGTGTTGCTAATATATGGTGCCCATTTACCCATTTGTCATGTTGGTGATGTTGCATTACCTTAATCTGGTCACCCCCTTACATTGAAATATGTTTATCATGTGCAACAGTTAAAGTATAATTTAATTTCTATTCAAAAACTATGCGCTGATAACAACTGTATTGTCATTTTTTTTTATAAAAAATTATTTTTTATGTTAAGGACAAAACCTTTAACCTTCGGGGCGGTGCTTCTGCGAGCTACCAGTAGTGGGCCACTCTATCCTCCCAGTCTGCCGTCATCTCCTCCTTTAGCATTAGCATCGAATTTTTGCCGTTTTTGGCCCCCGACTATTATGTCAATGACACTTTTGGTACTCGACTTCTAATTTTTCCATTTTTAGTCCTTTACTATTGTGCTAGAGACACTTTTAGTCCCCGACTTTAAGATTTCTCACATTTAGTCCCTGAGTATCGTCCAATTGACACTTTTAGTCATCTCACTATGATTTCGACACAATAAATGGAGGACTAAAAATGTCATTGTTGTAACAATTGAAGGACCAAAAATGTCACTTTTATGAAAGTTGAAGGACTAAATATGGAAATTTTCAAAGATGGGTACCAAAAGTGTCTCTAGCAAAATAGACAAGGACTAAAAATGGAAAAAAATCAAAGTCGAGTACCAAAAGTGTCAATGACATAATAGTCGGAGGACTAAAAGTGGAAAAAACTCCATTAGCATCTGTTTCAACTTCTGGCTCTATTGGCATCATAGACTAGGTCACTGCGGTGACAAAATTTTGCAGTTTCTTAGGAGTCAATTTTTTAAGTAATAGCTCTAGTTTTAGCCATGCTTGTGTTTCTTGTTGTTTAGGAAAATCACAATGTTTGCCCTTTACGGATGCTAGTCACAATTGTTCTCTTCTCTCACAAATTATTCATTTTGAAGTGTGGCAATCTCTAGTTTGTTCTAATTTGGGTTTCAACTATTACGTTTGCTTTATTGATGATTATTCTCGTTCTACTTGGATTTATTCCATGTGCCATAAAAGTGAAGGTTTTAATCATTTTAAAATTTTTAAACTTTTGGTTGGAAATCTTTTTAATCAGAAAATTAAAAAATTTCAAAGTGACGAGGGAGGTGAATTTGTGAATCATGATTTGCATCAATTTTTCTCATCTCATGGCACACCTCAACGGAATGGGGTTGCTGAACGCAAACATGGTCATCTCCTAGAATTAACTTGGTCCACTACGGGTTTTGCGGTATTTTTTCGCGATAATAATTCTATCACTTATTTATTATTATATGTAGATGATATGATATAGTGAAATAGTGGAATAGCTCTGGCGAAAAACAGCGATTGGGTGAATGATGGACAATTCTCGATCGGAGGAGGCACTGCCACCTCCTGCGCAGAATGGAAAGGTTTGGAGAGGGCGATGGTTGCTGGCGAACCATCCGATAAGCCATTGTCAAAGAAGTCTCCTGCGAGGTATAAGGGTGTTCCTTCGGTTGTGTTTCCGGATGAAGATTGTGACACTCCGAAAAATTGAGATAAAATAAATAATTTTATTAGTCAGATAAAAGGTTACGAAAGTGACATTTTTAATAATTAAGTGAACCAGCTAGAATTTTAACATATGTGATAAATTAATCAGATAAAAATGTTTCAACAATAAGTGACATTTTTATGATAATTATATTGACCAGATAGGACCCCTTGACTTAAATAACAAAAGTGACATTTTTGTCACAAATGATAATTATACATATGACATAAATAATAAAAAATGATATTTTAACAATTTCAGAATAATATATGTACATATAAACTCCAAAATAACACCAAGTAATATTAAAAGAGTTGGAGTTTTCAAATCTAACACTTCGTACATCCATACCTACCGGCCATACGCAATAAATCATACTCGGTACATATCAATAATATTATACCAATAGTAATAATATGCAATGTATGTATAACAATAATGCATCTTGTGAACTGCTAGCCATATACATGCATGATGCATTCCGTCCAAAGGAACGACCCACGCACATGCTTCTGCATAAGCTAATCCAGATGAGGCCAAGGATACACACAACTAAGAGATTCTGGTGATGGATAGATATACCTTGTTGAGCTGCTAGCTATTACTACACACCAACCAAATGAACTACGTGTAGTTTTCTACACCAAGAGGAAACCAGTAACCTGCCCAATTGTTACGCATACAAATACATATTTATATACCTACGTATTAACCTTGCGAAACCATAACCAGAAAAACTTCACACACCGTACTTATCTTTGCGACCTGTTATTTGAGCTGTGAATAAAGTAGAGAAATAGAGAAAGGGAGGAAAGGAGGGTCGAGTCGGAGCCGTTACTACCGCACAACGCATCGCCGCACCGGAGTTTCGCCGGACTGCTGTTCACGCAGGAGGAGAAAGAAGCTGAATCGCCAGAGCCCTCTCCGATCCTTTCCCTGTTCGCCGGTCGCGCTGAAGAAGACGTACGTACAGTAAGTCGTACGCCTCTCCTTCTTAACTTAACTTTAATAAAGCTTAGTTGGGTTGAGGTCAGTTATAAAATAATGGTGTTATAATGAAAATGAAAATAGAGAGAACAAATCATACTCCGTATTGGGGTTAGGAGAAGAATACATTAATTCAATAGTAATATTAACGTAATTGTAAGATTGGATTAATTAGCAATTTTATTAATCTGGCTAATTGAGAGATTAAAACCCATTTTTAGTAAACCGGAATTTCCAACTCCCATATTTACAAAAGTCACTAAATTAGCTTTATTAATCACGAAACGGCAATATTAGATCTAATTGTTTTGAAGGTTAATGGGTATCAATTAAAATTAAAAAGTAAATTAATAACAAAAGTTAAATAAACTGTTGGACCGATTAATTTTTTGATATTAATAATTGGATATTCATAAATAACTTTAACCTTATAGATTGAATTGAAGTGAACAACTATCAACAAAATATATTATACTTCGACTAATTGATAAAATTGGATTGACTATTTTTTTTATGAATAAAGTTGATTATTGGGAATATTAAAAGTTGGAGTTTTATACATAACCGTGGGTTAAATTGGGTAAGTTAATAACAGTAAAGTAGTAGACTAATTATGAAATTGTAATTAAAAAGGTGATTATTATTTAGAGACTGGAATAGAGGGAAGAGAAATAGGAGCATTGGATTAAGTGTGATTAAGTGTAATTAAAAAGGTGATTATTATTCTCTGCCAATCCAAAATTGTTTCCTCGTATTATATGTTTATTATGCATTATGTGATTAAGTGTGAATTTTGAATTATGTGTACGTGATTTTGAAGAGATATTAGATCTATGGTATTTGAGAAGTGCAAACGAAGTACTTTTGGGTATTAAATATTTTTAAATACCTTTGAGACTATTTAGAGAGATTGAGAAATATTTTTTGGAAGTATAGCCATATAGAAACTGAACAAGTTGTTAGCTAATTAGAACCATATATAGCCATTGAATGGGAATTGTATAGGAGGTTGTTATCAAGGCCTTTTTATTCCAATATTACCAAAATGAATGAAAAAGATAAAAAAGTGACATGTTTTAAATTTTTCTAAAAATGTGACTAAAAGTCATTTATTCCTTATATTTAATCATATATTTATTTTATAATACTCCTTTTATACATTTGTAGCCACTAGCACCTCAGGACCACCGACCCCAGCACCACCACTGCCGCCACCGGCACCGCTGCCGCAGCACCGCCGCCGCTGCCGCAGCGCCGCCGCCGCCGCCGCCGCCGGCAGTCACTATCTCAGTGACTCCGGCCAAAGTGACTTCGGCCAAAGTGACTGCCGCCACAGTGACTGCCGCCACAGTGATTGCCGCCACATTGACTGCCGCCACAGTGACTCCGATGCCACAGTGACTCCGCCGCGGTCAGTTCAGTGACAGCCATCATTCCGTCCAGTGACTGCCGCCTCCCCTCGTCAGTGACCTCTGCCCGTCACAGTGACCGACCTCCCACCAGCCATATGGCCGCCGGAAAGTTTTCAAACGTCGCTCTCTCTCATCCACAGCCACCGCTGCTCCACCGTCCACTGCCGCCGCCCATTCTCCGTCCACAACCACCACCCCGTCCCCAGCCCCCTCCCCTGCCCTAGCTATACACTCCAGATCCCAACCCAACCCCTAGTCCCCGGCCTATCCTTTCCCAGCCCCACCTTGAACAGTCAAGCTCAATCCTGACTACCTGCAACTGAACCCTAGCCACCACCATCCCCGGATCTGGCCGTTACTGTTCGTCATCTTAGATCTGACCATCCATCTGAGGCGAGGCGGACGAAGACGGCCTGTGAGGCGAGGTGAGGCGAGGTGAGGCGGAGGCAGCCTGTTCGAAGACGCTGAGGCGAGGCTAAGGCGGAGGGCGCCTGTGCGGAGAGTGTGAGGCGCAGCAAGGCTGAGGTGGAGGCGGCCTGTGCGGAGGTTCTGAGGCGCGGCGAGGCTGAGACAGAGGCGTCCTGTGCGGCGGGGTTGAGGCGAGTTGGAGGTGAGAATGGTTGTTTGTTGCGTGCGATTTGATGCGCAGGGGAGGGGGAGAAGAAAAGGCAGATTGCATAGGGGAGGGGAGGAGACACGCAGGGAGGCTGAGTCACATTTTTAGAAAAGGGGAAAAGGGTCATACTTTTGTAATTTGAAAAGTCAAATGTCATATATGGGCAATTATTTCTGTTATCAATCAAAGTCTCATTACACATCTTATTTCCCTATCTCTCTGTAAACTGCCCTTACGTTTCATACATTTCTCGAATTCTCCTCTCCATCTTTATGAGAATTCCTGGACTGTATCATTGATATCAGAGCATTGATCCTAATTTTACACATCAATTACTCCAATATCAGTGCATCCGAGTTCGAACGAAGGACACGGTGGTTGTAAGTTCGAAGCATGGTTTAGACTCGGAATTCCACCGCATACATGGAGGAAGCCTTGAAGCTGTTGCAGGTGGATTTTGATCAGAAGCTAGAAATGCAAAATAAGCTGATGATGGGTATGATGTCAAAAGTTATGAAGAAAGCGGTTGAACTACAAAAGAAGAAAGGAAAGAGGGCAATATAAGATGAAGGAAGCAGTACTTCCAGTACGGATGAAGGATCATCATCAGATGATGATGATGAGGGAGGCGATCATTCTGGAAAATCTTCAGCTGGACAACAATAGCGATTCATGCCTAAAGTAGAATTTCCCTCTTTCGAAGGTCAGAATGCTAAAATCTGGGTACAAAAATGTGAAAGATACTTCAAACTTTGTGTTATTCCTGATAAACAAAAGGTAAATTTAGCTTCATTATACCTTGAGGGAAGAGCCATTAATTGGTTTGGGAATTATATCATGTCAAGAAAGAAATTGTTGTGGAGTCAATTTGTGGCAGATGTATATGCGAGATTCAATATTAATAGGTGGTGGAGAGGTTCAATAATTTGAAACAGACAGGGCCGATGGAAGAATTTGTTGATGAATTTGGATTGTTTCCTAGCCGCTTTGAAGCCCACGCTTAAATCATTTGTTGAAGCTTTTAAGCCCAATACTATGGCTGAAGCAATAGAGTTTGCTAGGTTACAAGAAGATACTGTGGAAGCCTTGGCTAATCAGACCAAATCTGTCAATCATCACAAGATTCCTATATCTAAACCATTGCTTCCTACTCCCATTATACACCATAAGAATGTGCCAGTGACAGCCAATCAAAATAGCTCAAGTATGTTGAAATGGCCTACAAATATAGTCCCAAGAAGATTTGTATCAGCTAATGAGAGAGCCAAAAAGAGAGCTAAAGGTTTATGATACTACTGTGACCAGCCATTCAGTAAAGAGCATAAGTGCAGCCATAAGGGTACTCAATTGTTTTTTGTGGAAGTATCAGGCTGTGAACAAGAAGGGGAGATGGAGATGAAAAGTCATGCTGAAGATATAGAGATAGACTCTAATATGGGAAGCAACATGACTAACGTGGAACCATTAATCTCTTTCAATGCTATTAATGGGTATGCATATTTCAGAACTATGAGGGTTACAGGATATGTGGGCAGAAAACTAGTATTGCTTCTGATTGATTCAAGCAGTACTCGTAATTTTTTGAGTACTACCATAACCAAGAGGTTGGGTTGTAGAATGGAACATATTTCACCAATACCTGTAGCAGTGGCAGATGGGCCACAATTGAAGTGCCAGCATAAATGCAAGAATCTGAATTGGAAGATGCAGAATACTCAGTTTTCTTCAGATGTGTTGTTACTTCCATTGCAGGCTTATGATATGGTATTGGGAGTACAATGGCTATGTACACTTGGAGATATTAATTGGAATTTTCAGGAACTTCAGATGAAATTTAAGTACAAAGGTCAAATGGTAGTATTGAGAGGCCAAAAACCTGGAAGATTGAAGACCATAAGTGGGACAACCAAACAAGTGCACAAGCAACTCAACTGTACCTAATACATTATCTACCTGATACAGCAGGAGACACTAAATTGGAAGGAGAAGAAATTCATTTCAGAATCAAAATAGAAGAGGGGACAACTCCTGAATGTTTGAATGATATTATTGAGTAGTATAAGGAGATCTTCCAGGAACCTAAAGGTCTGCCACCAAGCACGGGTGTATTTGATCACAGGATAACTATTAAAGAAGGGTCACAACCTGTCAATATCCGACCTTATAGATACCCTTTAAAACATAAGGATATAATAGAATAGAAAGTGAAAGAACTGTTGGATGAAGATATCATTCAACCTAGCTCTTCTCCTTATGCTTCTCCAGTGGTGTTAGTAAACAAAAAGGATGGAGATTGGAGACTGTGCACAGATTACAAAGCTCTGAACAAACAAACCATTAAAGATAAGTTCCCAATTCCTGTAATTGATGAGTTGATTGATGAATTAGCTGGAGCAAACATATTTTCTAAACTGGATCTAAGAGCAGGCTATCACCAGTTGAGAGTATGTCCAGAAGATGTGCATAAAACAGCCTTTAAGACTCATTATGGTCATTTTAAGTTACTAGTTATGTCCTTTGGGTTAACTAATGCACCAGCTACTTTTCAAAGTTTTATGAATCATATATTCAAGGACTTTCTGAGGAAATTTGTTCTTATCTTCTTTGATGATATTCTTGTATATAGCCCTGATTTGGAAAGCCATAAGATACATTTGCAACAGGTGTTTGAAGTTCTTAAGCAACATCAATTATATGCTAAGAAAAGCAAATGTAATTTTGGTATGAAGAGGGTGGAGTACTTGGGGCACTTCATATCTGGGAAAGGGATGGAAACAGATGGAAGAAAGATTAAGACTATAGTTAAATGGCCAATTCATGTTTCATTAAAACAACTCAGAAGTTTCTTGGCTTAGCAGGTTATTACAGGAAGTTCATCAGGTGCAATAATAGCCAAACCATTGACAAATTTATTGAAGAAGGAAGCTTTTAAATGGTCTGAAGAAGCTATGGTAGCATTTGAGAGGTTGAAACAAGCTCTAAGCGCTGCACCAGTCTTAGCATTGCCTGATTTCAATAAACAGTTTGTTAATGAAACAGATGCATCAAATATGGGCATAGGGGCTGTCTTGATGCAGGAAGAACATCCATTGGCTTTCATAAGCAGGTCACTAGGCACCAGATGGCAGAATCTATCAATATATGAGAAGGAGTTGTTAGCATTGGTGTTTTCTGTTCAAAAAATGGGAGCAGTAACTCTTTGGTCAGACCTTTATCATTAAGACTGACCAAAAGAGTCTGAAATGGTTGCTGGAGCAAAAGATTTCAACCCCTTTTCAACAATTTTGGTTATCTAAATTGATGGGGTTTAGATATGAAATTCAGTACAAAAGTGGAGTTGAGAATAAGGTGGCTGATGCATTATCCAGGGTGACTGGGGCAGAACTACTTTGTATAGCTATATCTTCAATACAAATAGTTTTGATGGATATGATCAAGAAGAGTTATGAAGGAGATGATCATCTGAAAAAGATTATGGATCAATTGTAAAGTAATACAATGATGGGTGACACAGTTTACACTTTTCATGAAGGGGTTTTGAGGAAGAAATGCAAACTGGTAGTACGACAAGATCCTAGCATTAGAAAAAAAAATATTACAATGGGCCCACAGTTCTGCCACTGGGGGGCATTCAGGACAAGAATTAGGCACTTGTTTCATTGGAAAGGCCTTAATAAAGATACTCAAGCTTTCATTAGAGCTTGTCAGATTTGCCAGGCTTGCAAATATGATAATTCTGCATATCCAGGGAAGTTACAACCATTACCAATTCCTAAAGAGGTCTGGGTGGACGTGTCCACGGATTTTATTGAAGGATTGCCTACATCTTATGGAAGGAATGTTATATTTGTAGTAGTGGACAAATTAAGCAAGTATGCACATTTCATGACCCTTAAACATCCGTTTACAGCAATTGAAATAGATCGAAGCTACTTGGATCATGTGTTTAAGCTTCATGGTTGGCCAAGTACTATTGTGAGTGATATAGGATTAGTTTTTCTAAGCACTTTTTGGAAGGCTTTATTTAGTGTGCAAGGGGTGGACCTGCTGCTATCTACTTCATTCCATCCTCAGACAGATGGTCAAACAGAAGTAGTAAACAGATGTTTAGAAAATTATTTGAGGTGCATGTGCTTTGAGAAATCACAAAGCTGGTGTAAGTGGCTGCCATTAGCGGAATATTGGTATAACACCACTTTTCACTCTGCCATAGGAATGACTCCTTATGAGGCAGTATATAATCAGCCTCCTCCCTTACATCTACCTTACTTGGCTGGGGTAACTAAGATTGCAGCGGTGGACAGATCAATGCAGTAAAGGGAGAGCATGATTCAGCTTCTAAAGTTACATTTGCAAAGAGCACAAAACAAGATGAATATGTGGGCTGATAAGAAGAGATCAGAAAGAATGTTTAATATTGGAGATTGGGTATGGTTGAAATTGGAATCCTACAGACAGACCATAGTGGAATACAGATGGAATGATAAACTAGCCCCTAAGTTCTATGGTCCTTTTCAAATAAGCCAAACAGTGGGAAAAGTGGCTTATCAGTTGAAGTTGCCAGCTGAAGCAAAGATTCATAATACTTTCCATGTTTCTCAATTGAAGGAGTTCAAAGGAATATTGCCAGCTAAACCTCATATTCCTACGTGGTTACATAATATAGATAAGGAGAGCACTCTGAAGCCAAGGGCTGTGTTGGCAAGACAGATGGTGAAGGCTCAGAATCAAGCTAAGATCAAATTTCTCATTTAATGGCAAGGACAGGAGGAGGCAGATGCTACCTGGGAGTGGGCTGAACGCATCAAGGAAAAATTCCTAACATTTTATAGTCAAGTGACTTGAGGACAAGTCAATTGTAAAAGGGGAGTATTGATACATTTAGTTTTAGTTGGGAACTAGTTTAGCTGTATTATTTTCTGGAATAAATCGGTTTAGTTAGTTGAACAAGTTGTTAGCTAATTAGAACCGTATATAGGAGGCTGGGAATTGTATAGGAGGCTGTTATCAATCAAATTCTCATTACACATCTTCTTTCCTTATCTCTCTGTAAACTGCCCTTACATTTCATACATTTCTCGAATTCTCTTCTCCATCTTAATGAGAATTCCTAGACTGTATCATTCTTCCATCTGACCGAAGTTTCTTCCCCTTTCATCTGGACCTGTCTTTCGTTTACAGCTGCTCCAAGCCCAAGCAGAAGACGCTCCGGATCTTCAATTGTGCAGCGGTGAGGACAAAGGAGGCTAAGTAATTAGCGACTTAGGGTCGCTTTTGACCCTCAAAATTGGGGGAAGGAATCCAAATCCAAAGTATTTCCTAATCATCATTGTACTATTTTTGTAATTTTATATCTATACGACTGTACATGTGTGTATGTATAATTAGAAGCTCCCTAATCGGGTTTAATGCACCAAATCCCCCTATGATTTGGAAATTCGGCGCATTAGTCCCCTGTGATTTAAAAAATGCGTCAAACCCCCTTGTGTTTTAATTAATCATGCACAGAACCCCCTTTATGAATAAATTTAACGATTTGAAAATCACATTTCCTAATATTTTGATTGAATATGCATATAAATATGTCAAAATCTCTGAATCATACAAAAATGTTAATCATTTTTTTTTATTTGACAATTGAATTTGTTCACATAAAGGATTTGGCGCATGATTAATTAAAACACAGGGGGGTTTGACGCATTTTTTAAATCACAGGGGACTAATGCGCCGAATTTCCAAATCACAGGGGGGTTTGGTGCATTAAACCCCTCCCAAATCAGAAGAAAATCCCATTGCGAAAGACTATGTTGGTGTTATGCATTCAAACAAAGTAGCCAGTCACTTTAGATTGCAATGAAGAAGGAAAGTTCTACTGGGGAGATTTATCGTCAATTATTTTATGGAATGGGGAGCAACCATCTTTATCCAAATTGATGATTGCCATTAGAAAGTGAAGCTTTGGATTTGTTGAGGCTGCGTTAGGTTACGTAATAAGGATGTAATAGGAATTAAAAAAAATAGGTGGCTCTATATAGTAAATAGAATTGCCCTAATACTTATTCTTTAAAAATGACCGGGACTGGCTGATTGACCGGAACTGATCCGGTTCCCACAATCCCACCCCTCCCCGCCTAGGACCGGCCCAAACTGGTCCATATTCATGCTTTCGAAGTGTGCATTATTTACGAAATAATCTAGGCTTATGTAAATCAAATTTAAATAGGGAAAATGGAAATTAATAATCCAACCTTTTAGCGGTCTTCTTACAATAGTCCCACCTTTTGATTATTCATGAATAATCCAATCTTTGCACCTCATCTTCATTCACTGGTCCCTGACCGGTTGATGACCTGTTATTCCAAGTTATTTTCTTATCTTTGCAAAATATTATCTCTGTGAAAGGTGAGATTTATGGTATAATGGTTTACAAAGATAAGAAAATAACTTGAAATAGCAGGTCATCAACCGGTCAGGGACCAGTGAATGAAGATGAGGTACAAAAGTTGGATTATTCATGAATAATCAAAAGGTGGGACTATTATAAGAAGACCACTAAAAGGTTGGATTATTAGTTTCTATTTTTCCATTTAAATAACAAATGACCCACATACCAACACAAGTCCACAAGGTTATATTATTTGGATTTCGAATGCAAAACATAAGAACTTACAACAACCTGCGAATTTTAGGGGCTGGACTTTGGAATCTAGAATTAGAAAATCGAACCATTATGATCCAATCCTATTCGATGCCAACATTAATTAATTACTACGTATTTATTAACAATTCGATTTCTATTTTTATTAACGGTTCACTTCTCGATTCTTATGTGAAACCGTTAAACGAATCGTTATATAATAATTAAGTTTTATGCATTACTTATTAGTATATACTACGTATATTTGAATATTTATTTTCTTCTTTATTTTTATATTAAATTAACTAATTCAATTTAGTTAGTAGAGTTGATAAATGAAAAAATGACATGTATATTACTAACAAACTTTCCCAGACAAAATATGACTAATGTTTTTTAACAAAAATATGATTAGTCACTGTGTACAAATAACTGTACAAAAGTCATTATAGTGTAATTCATTTTGATAAGTCATAATTGATGATGAGTCACTAGAAACTAGTAACTAAATATGTCATTTTTTTGAAGATTTTAAAATAATTAATATTTTTGTCTTTTATATGAGGCCTTGAAAAATTGATATTAACAGTTCCTATTATAATGAATTTCTTTTTTGTTTTCTTTACTAAAGTTTTCAATTTGTTATGCACTCATGTTTGAGATTTAACTTTTGAGCCTTGAAATGATGGTAATTTTGAACATATTTGTATTGCTTATAATATCAAACGTTCAATGTCTTTATGTGGCACAAATTTAGCAGTGATTAGGAACTGGAAATAATAAGAACCGAACCATTATGATTTGGTTTTCCATATCGGTTCTACAAATAAGAATAATTAATAAGAACTGAATTGATATTAAAAATTGAGACTCTTTAAATGGTTCCATTTGTTTTCTCTAAGAATCAACTCAATCCCAGACGGCCAGACCTAGCAAATTTCAAACATTGCAAATATCAACACTAAAATTAGTATATACTACAATGGCAATGCATAGTCTTAATCAATATGAAATGGTGCACAAGTCATAACATTTCAATAATTAAGAACCGAGCACATGACTTCTTTGTTCATTGTTGGCATCAAAGAGTGTTGACTGTTGAGTGCTCTGTAAAGATGTGTCAACGCAGTATATCATAATTGTTGCTTTCTTATTTACCCAAGTACAAAATTTTCCGACAATAATAATATTGTGCTTCAAACATACCGTTCAATGCATTTTTATTGAAAACATAATGAGCTAAGGATGTTTTTACTTGGACTGTAATTTGCCGGTCCGGTCCGATCTGTTTAAGTCTAATCTGGTCTGTCTGATATGTTTAAGTCTAGTCTGGTCTGATAAACGTCTGGTCTCTATGTATTTTATAACTATGGAAGTCAAGTCTAGCCTGGTCTGTTTAAATCTGATCTGATCTGTTTAAGTCTGCTCTAGTCTAGTGTGTTTAAGTCTGGTCTGGGACGCAAAACCATTCAAGTAAAAACATCCTAACATAGCAAGGGAGATATTGAAGGGATCAATCAATGATGAAGAATGGGGGGAATGGGGAAAACGAGAAAAGATATCAGGAGAATAAGAAGTGTTAAGGTTTTGAAGAGTTAGTGTAAAAAAATGGGAAAAATTAGAGGTATTTGTAGAATATTTTAAACTGTCCTCCCCAAACCCCACACGGCCACACCCTCCAACTCTCCAAGCCCCTTCAAGGGCCCTCAGAGCAGTTGGAGCAAGGGGCCACCCCCCCCCCCCCCCCCTAACAGCTCTATTAGAAAGGCTAATAGGAAAAAAGCAAAAGAAAAAGGAAACCATTGGGGACCGGCCGATTCCATTCCCCATTATTCAAACCCAAGACCGGCGTCCGTGCAGCATGGGTCCAGTCCTGGTTTTCTACCTGAATTGTGTTTTTCGGTTCCGGTCCAGTCCCGTGAACTCACCAGTGTCGGGACCAGCTCCATGACTATAGAGTTTGAACATACTCATTGCAAGGAGTTCTCTCTGACGCAGGACTGAAAAGAGGTGAATATGGTCAGATATTACCACCCAAAGATCAATATACCCATTTACTCACTCGTGTAAATGTTGGTTGTAGTCTTGTAGACTTGGAGTGCAGTACATAACATGGGGTCAGCGGAGCTAGGGGAGGCCCAACCTAGGCCCCAATCTATCTCAAATTAAAAAAAAAATCTTAATTATAAGTGCAAAAAATTCCGTGTAATTTTTTTCAAAATGAACCAACCCAGTCCAACTCAATGCTCTAGCTACACCCTTGCTTGGGTGAATAATCCCAAATTTCAGTTTATTCCCTATTGACCTCCCCATTGCATAAGTTAAAACAAACATCTGATACCCAGTTCGCAAGCTAAGCTTGTTTCTACTGTACATTTTTCTCTCCTGTTTTCAGCCCATTATTAATGCCAAACAAACTGCACATTCTGCTTTATGAGAAATGAATTATCAAAATAGTTTCACTCAGATAGATAAATGAAGTTCAAATGAAACAAACAAAGGAAATTCAAATTCAAAATCTTACTACTTTCATCAACTAGAGTGCAAAAACCAAGGAAAAAACAATTACCTTTCAAATGGATAGCCAAATACAATAAAATGCTCAAACCCAAAATTCCCCAACTATGGCGAAGAAGCTTTGTGTTTTTTCAGTCTCTTCATTGCAGGGGAGATGGTGCTTAGCATCTTTCGGCCTTTCTTTTTCAGCTTCCTCTTCTTTGATGCAGAGGGCATCTCTCTTACTGGGCCTGGGGGCACACCCTTCTTAAGGGCACTGCCCCGTGGGGTAGAAGAGGGTGGCAATCTCAAACTCTGTGGAGGCAATGGGCAGTGTGGTTTCCAAACCAAGTTGTTCTTCATTGCAAACCTAACCTTCTTTGACCTCTTCTCTTCACTCTTTGCAGCAGTAACAGCAAAATCTCCTACATTGTGTAAGTGGACGATACATGACTCTATGTTATTGACAGTTTTTCCACTCTTTCTTTTGATTTTCATAGGAATTTTAGGTTTATTGATTTCACCATCACCAACTTCGGTAGCTACTTTCTCAAACTGCATCTGTAGATTTGAAATGACAGTCTCAGTGAATACCACACTTTCGACCACAGGATTGTCTTTTATGGTCTCACCTGCCAATGCATTTTCAGAATCCTTTTTAATTTTACTTGGTTTTGAATTCTCCATAAATCTAGGTGCAAAAACAGTTTCCGTGATTAGGGAGCAATCCTGAGAAGCCCGTTTTTTCTCTTCTTTCTTCTTACCAATCTTGTTGCTTACAACCTTCATCATCTTAGCCTTCTTGCATTTTCTAGAATTTTCATCCGTTTGACCATCAGATGCATCACCTTTATTTGTCTTACTGCTCTCAATTGGAACCATATGGGGAATCTCCTCTTCTTGAATAGAAACCTTGGGAAGCACAATGTGAACCCTTGAGGTTTCAAATAGGTTCTCCAATTTCAAGAACTCATCATGTAACTTGAAAATAATTTTCCTGTTTCCCTGATGACATTCCAAAGATGAACCAATCTCAAAAAGCATTGACGAAAAGCCCATCTTCATTGAAATCAAACCAAGAGCGACCTCTGCATAGCTTTCATTGCTTTCAGCTCCATTCATCTTCTTCTCCAGTAAACTCTTCCCCGAGTTTAACAATTTATCAAATACACAGCTCTTCACTTTTCCAACCAATACCCTATCATTGGACCTTTTAATTACTTCAAACAACGGCTTAAAGATATACCCAACAACATCACTGTCAACAGGAACAGAACAACCACTCAACTCATCAAGCCAAACCGAAACGATGTGATAACACACTCCATTACCTAACAACTTATCCTCTGCTAAAAATGCATTATTGATAAAAATATCGACAACTCTAGTTAGAAGCTCCACATTCCAGCTATGTTTCTTGCATAGAGAGAAAATTGAGTAAATGAATTTCCTAACAAGTAAGTAAAATTTATCGAGCCTCAAGCGGTCAATCCCAATCCATTCACGTTTCAGAGAGACGAGAAAAACAGAGAAATAATTCAAGGCAAGAGAAAGATCAAGATTTAGTACGAGTGATGATGCGCGGTTGATGAGATGAGATTGGGCAGGAGCCTTATCGGAATGCCACAGGCAATAGAAGAGTCCCTTCCAGAACTTTTTCATATCGTCGTCGGCTATTTCAGATTGACTCAGCAGCCATACCTCGAGCAACCTCAGCGCTTTGGATCGGACGGGGGCGTTGCAGGAAGCTAAGTGCTTGATGATGGCCGGGCCTGGAGTAACGGCGTCGAGGATGAGAGTTTCAGGTTTAGGTTTGAAATCTCTAGATCGCTTCTTCATTAGGCGGTGAAGATCGATCGTGAAAACTATAGATCGGAAGATATTTCTGCCGAAGAAGTGACAGCAGAAACCCTAGTTGTAGTATGAATTGCGACATACGGATTCTTATACCCCTCACTTTGCCAACGTTAGTTTTCCATTTCTTTCTCAAAACTTTCTCATTTTTTCTTTTTAAAATGACAATTTCGTGTTTTCCAAAAAAAGAAGAAGATAAATTTGTGATTAATTAATTTATTTATTTATTTTATACAAATTTCATTACACAATTTTTACTTTTCTTATTTTAGTGAGGTGTCAACAATTTGATTTAGATAGAAATTAGAATTCCACGAGAATTGGGTGTCCTCAACTTGAAGTTTAAAAGCTCTATCAAAATTCTAGTATCCCTGGTCATTCCATGAATTTATTTTTTGATGGAATCTATTTTATACTACGTATGAAAGATATGATATAGCTCATAAAATGATAATTTTATCCTCAAAGAAGCATACGGTCCTGCAACCAAAATTTCACTGTTTTATTATACAGATGTCATATGGCTCTTTATACATACCGAAAAAATGGAGTGAAATAAGGGAGTGAAATTTTGGTTGTACAGATGCCATGTGGTTAAAGTTTGTGTAGAGGAGAGAGAAATAACAGAAACCACAAAATAATTGATTAAAAGGGAAAGTGACAAAGTTTTTTGGGACCCCCAAAAAGGCTAGATAACAATGTTTTAAGGAACGGAGGTAATATATATAAAAAAAGAGATATATAGAGTAGCTCATAGAATGATAATTTTATCCTCAAAGAACATACGGGTCCTGCAACCAAATTTTCACTCCCTTATTATACAGATGCCACGTGGCCCTTATTATAACTTTTTCTTTTTTACTTCAATTTTTACAAAAAATTCATCAAAATTTATAATTTTTCAAGATCTTTCATTTGACATCAATATTGCATATATAAAAATTAAAAAAAAGTTGATGGTTTATTAAGCTACATTTTTATTTCCAACATCGATATGAATTATTGGCATTAAATAAACACTCTATCCATCCTAGTACAATTGTCCCGTTTTTCTTATTTTCGTCCGTCCCACTAAATTGTCTCACACCATATTTAGTAATATTTGTGTCGCTCTAATTCATTTCTGCTTTATTCTCACTATCAAATCATTATCAAACACATAATTTCATTTATCTTAAAAACAACACCACTCCCTTCCGTTCCAATATTAGAGGGACGGAGGTAGTAAAAAATTTATTTTATATGACCAAAATAAGAATAAAAGATAAAAATATGACTTTCAAGAAAAATTATTTGCAGGGATTAAAACAAAATGTACTACATTTCTTAAGACTAAAAGCATATTTAAAACCCTTTAAATTATTTTATATTTGTTCTATTGTATTTAATTATGGTCTGGTCTGAGAGTGAAAGCAAATCAATTAAAAATGTCACACTATCCGTAGAATGTGAAATTAAATATAAATGTCGTTCTAGGAAATAAGATTTTTACAGGTGATAGTAAAAAGTACTATATATAAAATGTCACATTTTATTAAAAATGTCAACGTGTTTCAACAATGACAATCTTAAAAAAACAGCTAAAATCTAAAAACATATAAGCCTGAATGAGGGTTATACCCTTTTGGGAATTGAAAAGTGTTGGTGGTAACAATGTGCTCAATGCATTTGTACATTATGCTTTTAACTTTGAACAAGAACATAATACCGAATAACCTTGTGTTACTGCGCCTTACCTCGTTACTCTGGCTTCCGTTAGCTCCCTAATCTATTACCATACCCAGATATACTAATTCTCGTTGGCTTCTTGGTTTTCATCCCGTTTAATCTCCTGGTTTCATATATGGTTTGGTCATAGAGCTCAAACTTGCGATAGATTTCATCTTTTTCAACCAAACCATATATGAAACCAGGAGATTAAACGGGATGAAAACCAAGAAGCCAACGAGAATTAGTATATCTGGGTATGGTAATAGATTAGGGAGCTAACGGAAGCCAGAGTAACGGGGTAAGGCGCAGTAACAGAAGGTTATTCGGTATTATGTTCTTGTTCAAAGTTAAAAGCATAATGTCCAAATGCATTGAGCACATTGTTACCACCAACACTTTTTTAATTCCCAAAAGGGTATAACCCTCATTCAGGCTTATAAGTTTTTAGATATACTACTCTTCTAGGTGAGAAGAGTATCAGGCTTGTGGGAGACAAGCAGGACGGTAAAAACGGGGAAAGACGGTGGAATTGCTAGATGCCTTACCTTCACGACTTCCCGACATTTGTGCTACGTCACGCCTTATTTATGCAACCTCCTGAATTTGCCACCAATTCTATAGATTATGAGAATGAACGTAAGGTTTGCTAATTATGAATAGATGGTACTAGAAGCAAGTGTGGAGTTTATCTGAATGTTCGATCATGTTTGGTTGGTGTAAATTAGCTTAACTAATATTTCTTGTAATATTTGAGTGTTTGTATGAACTTAATTTTTGGAGGTCAAATAAAAATTCTTCAAGCATACTAGGTGTTTGTGAATATCTACATGAGATTTTAGAATATTTTTGTGTTTCATGTATACGAACATGAAAAATATAATTATCCAGCGAGCAAAAAGATAAATGAATTAGGACAATGAATGCTATCCTGTATAATAACTAAAAAATTATCTAATGAAATCTTATAATCTAAAAAGTAGAAGCCCAAAGCAGGAACAAAGTACATGGTATGTTATTGAGGAGCTGGTACACCGCCTGTGAGGCTTTCTTGACCTTTTACATAAAAGTGCTTTAATTATAATTAAAGTGTGGATAATAACCCTGCATCCTCACAAACTATTTTAGTATTTTGTTATTATGATATAGGATTTTCCGTTCACTACGTTGTACACGTACTAATGGAACCTGGATCATGTATCTGTAATGATCTCATCTCTGCCTAATTTTCATCTATTTTTTAAATGTGATCATTTTGTGTTTGATGCATTTGAAGTCTAGCTTGTGACTTGAATAATTATCATTATACCTTGTGCACACAATGATGTTTATAGCTTCAGAGAATAATCACCTGGTATCTTTTTGTGCAACAATTTCAGTTTTAGCGATTTTTTCATTATCTTAAAATTGGGTTTAAGTTCAGTTTAGTGGCTGGTAAATAAAAGATAATATCTAAAAACTTATAAAAGTGAATGAAAGTAAGGGTTCTTTGGGTATATGAAATGTGTTGGTGGTACAATAGAGCTAGATTGGATTGTACATTCATTTTAAAACATTGTACCCCTTAAATTATATTCTAACTTTTTTTCCGTTAGTCTTCACCTCTTTAAACTTCCGTTAACTTTTCATTTCTCCTTTGTTGCTAACAACTTCAAGTGGGTTCGAACAGAGCTAATTTTTACTAATCTCGTGTGCTTTTGTTCGTGTAATTCCACGTCCACCCAATTGAATTATTTGCTTTAATTTCTTATCATTAACCTTTTTTCCCTTTTTCTTGTTATTCAGCCTTTCCCCCTTTGCACCTACAATCGGCTGCTGGTTATTGTTCCTTAGTTATGGTATTTCGACGGTCGGCGGAAATCAGCTTATAAATTATAATATGATCTCTCAGCTTGTAGACCAGAAGTGTTGACCTTCAAAGTCATTGGCTTGTTCATGTTCCCTCCGTATTTAAAAGTTTACTCTTATAAAATACGCAACTACAATAATTTTATCTACTTTTTATGTTCTCTTTCATACTTTTACACACTTCCTCCTACTTTTTTTACATTATTCACTACCCCTGCTACTTTACTTCTTAAATAATGTGTCCAACCCAATGTAGTGAGTATTTAACTGTACTTTTATCTACATTCATTTTATAAAATTTCACCAAATTATATTCTACCTCTGTTCCAAATTGATTTGCAAAATTGACATTTTTGGTCGAATAGTTTCATTTTATTCACTTAATTAGGATACTAATTATTAATTATATTATAATCTGGAGTTTGCAACTTTAAAGATATTTTAATGTAGTTTCCGAATATGTAAATTTTAATCATTAACAATTGAGTTAATTAAAAATGGAGATGATTTAACTTTAACAGTGATTGACTAAGAATTGTTGACTTTGCAAATCAATTTTGACGAAGGGAGATATCATTTCTCGTACAGACAAAAATGTGAAAACAGACATGCTATTTGAAATAATTTAGGGATTCATATGTTTTGTGTGTTAGTAAGTTAGAATTATTTGGAGACAAGCTTTTTCTCACAGCTCAATAAATAGTCTTATATGGTTGCTGAGCAAGTCTGTTAAAATGCAAGTTAGAAAATTTAGGATTTAATTAATAAAGCAGCTAAACTAAGGCATATATAACTTTCCCTCGGTTTTGTAATCAATTCACTGCTAATATAATGATTAATTAAAGAAGTGTGTAATTAATAATAAGATATATGCATATGAATCTTTTTGTTTGCTTTAAAGAGTAATCAGTAACCTTATTTTGACTGAACTTGGGAGCGTAGTTTTCCCCTTTTGAAGAAGTTCCAATTATAATTAATTAAAGGAGTATATAAATAATAATTATAAAAGTAATTAGGTAGTAAAGTCTGTTTTTCCATTACAATTTGTATCCTTCTAGAGCTTTACACAAACATTACTTATCAGTTCTCATTAATCGATTAGTGTTCAAGCTAGCATTACTTTTTCTTTTAAAAAAATAGCTAGCATTACTTCTAAGCACAAGTTTATAATTAAGAAACAATTCATATATTATCACTATAGACAACAATGGAAAATATGCATTCTTCATCGGTGTTTTCAATTTTATCTATATGTTTCTTTTCTAACATTGTCTAGAAATATTATTTTCGATAGTGTGGTGTCGTCTGTCAGATTTATATTCACCGCCATCTTTGGTCGGGCGTTCATGTGTGCTAATAAAAGGTTTGCATTAATATCTTCATCAATCGAGAATATGATTTTCATCTGCGATGATATTGTGATGGATAAATTCTACCGTTGTTCTAGTGGCTGGCGGAAGCAGAATAAATTCTACACTTTACTCATTATCGGTATTTGGACAAACCGGGATGTTTAATACGAAGTACTCCGTAGTTTGTTTGAGAATTATTGTGATCGTAGCAGGAGCCGTCAACCTGCATGTAGAGTCTATTTTTTTTTGTGCGGTTAGCGATTAAACGTTTTCGATTTGAATCGTCATTTTCTATGTCTCATCTCATTGTAGCCTTGAGATGTATCATTGTAGTTGTTATTGGGCATTTTCCCCATCGCGCAACGCGCGTCACATAACTAGTACATCAACGTGCATGAGTGAATAAGCAGTTCTATTAGGGATTTAGGGTGTAAACCCTTTAATCTTTTAGGACACCCCATCACACCCCTTAAAATGTAAACCCTTTAATGAAAAACTACATGGTATGTTATTGAGGAATGAGGAGCTGAATTTTTTGTTCCTTTAAATGGAACATATAAAGGAACAGACTCCATAAACTCTAAAAGCTGAAACCAGGAACAGAGTACATGGTATGTTATTGAGGAGCTGAATTCTATGTTTTTTTCCTAAACCCAAATTCGCTAAGATAGTGATTAAATATATGACCATAGAATTTTATATTTTATTGATTTTTTTACATCTTAGTGCCTTTCATATATGTATTCTCAACACATGATAATATTTAATATCAATGTTTTTATGTTACCAAAAGATTCGCCTTATTTCAACATACAACAAACTCCATAACAAAAGTAAAAGTACTTAAGACGTGATAAATGACAAAGAAAAGTATTTATTTACCTAGACTACAATAATAATTTATCAAGTTGAGGGAAGGTTAAAACAAAAAAATAATGGCATTTGCTTGCAACTACACTTGCTCCATTTAACTTTTCAGCAACCACACTGTGATACTTAGTAGAAGTCATTGAAAAACTTTCACTTCTGAATTTGTCAACAGTTCATATGCCAGGAAGTTTTCATCCATTATTTGTTGATGCGTCTGAGAAAGAAATGTTAATTATACTCTCACATAAATGACCCTAAATGCCTTTCAAGCAAACTGAGAAACACAAATTCAAGCAAATGGCCATCAAAGAATTTCTCATACAAATCATCTAATTTTTAAGCAAAATATGAGCAGATGGATGGTTTCCTTATAAAATTTATGGGTCATGTAAATTGGGGTCTTGTAGTTTCCCTCTTGCATATATGGTTGGGTGATATGTTGTTAGGTATTAGCGTGAGGTGTCTGTTACAACTCTTTTTTCCGGGTAGGGCCGTAATGCTGAGAAGTGATAGTGAGTGTAGTTATTCTGTGCATCATGCTATTCAACTTTTTTCAGTCTTATTTGATGGACTAATGATAGTTCCTCTTCTACTTGTTTGCTTTTTTGGCAGAGATTCATGAACTATTCATCATTGGGTAACGAGTATATAATGTGATGTGGTTTGTGAGGTTGGTACTATCATCTTCATTTTTGCTAATGGTTGGGACTTGGGGTGTAGTGTGGGCAAATTCATTCAATGAATGTACATGTTTTGGTCAGTAGTGTACTGGGAAAAGTGGAAAACCAAGCAGTGGAGATTGTAAAATTAATACAGAAAAACATAATTTTTATTAATTTCTCCAACCCTTTTTATTGGCATAATTTAATTAAACTTCCTTGAAATATATATGTTTACTCTCTTAGTAACGTTTTTATTATTACTTAAGGAAATGTTAAAGGATGTAGCTAGAACTAAGACGCATCAAATTGTCATCGATAAGAATCCATTTCTATTCAAGGACAGAGTGGTCCTTGATGTGGGTGCTGGGACTGGGATCCTTTTTGTTTTTGGGAAAGTTGGTGCTAAACATGTTTATGTGGTATGTATCTGATTCCTACTAGGAAATTACATCTGTGAGCTGACTTTCATAAATCGTTATCTGTCCTTTTTATTTGGTCTATGTCTCATTGCAAAAGCTGGATTGGCTAACGGCTGTGTAAGTTATGTAACCAACAAATTCGGGTTATTTCACCTGAAAGAATGCATGTGTTTCGTATTTCAGGTTGAATGCTCTAGCATGGCTGGCATAGCACAAGAAATCATGAAGTTAAATGGTTTCTCTGATGGTGATGCTCGAGTTAGCTTTTAATATTATGATATTTCATGTATTACTGGCATACCATCTATCATACTTTGGCAGCTTATTCAAGCATACCAACTCTCTCGTATTATTTTGCTTTCAATGATAACTACAATGTTATTAAGGGAAAGATTGAAGAAATTGAACTTCATGTTGCTCAAGTTGATATAATAATCTCTGAGTGGATGGTAAATACAACACTCTCTGCCCGCAATAAGCGGCTTGTAAGTTTCTTTTAATGCATTGCTTTGTTACTAATGATGATTCCTATAGTGTGGAAGTTTTCTGTGTAAGCTTAGCTGCATAAGACAGTGTTTGTGTTTTATATTAGTGAGGCCTTATCGTCTTTTTTTTTTTTTTTTTTTTTTTTTTTTTTTTTTTTTTTTTTAAACCCGGAAGGCAAACCACCCATCGGTGGGGCAAATGCCGGGGAACATTTGCCATATTTTATTAAAAAAGGAAAAGTTACAGAAAGAGAGGGGGACTAGGCCAAAAAACCTCTCCTGAAGAGGCATTCCTCTTCCAAGTACATGAGAAAACAATTTAGAAAAACATAAAAGATCATTTAGGGGGATCAAACCTTACCCAAATGAAAATACATGACAGAGAGAATAAAAATACACATAGAAACTAATAACGAAAAGCAGGTATACCAAAAAAGTCCATGAAATAGGCCCTTCTAGAGAAAATAACGTATGGGGCTGGGTTTTTTTAAACCATATTTCACATCCCAAAAAAGTCTTATCCCATTTTTTTTGTCGCATAAGAGAAACCCATTTTATAAAGTAGAGTTCATTTGGAATTTAAATTTCCTAAAAAAGTTACAAACAAGTTGAATATAATATCATTTCAATATTAGTACATGGTATGTTATTGACGAGCTGGATGTTCTATTCTAAATTTAAAGTACTTGTATGCAAGAACTCTCTTTGTGTTTGAAATTTGTTTTCACGTAAGACTTTAGTTTTCATTGAAAATAATTTAATTTATAACTTAAAGTTCAACTATACTACAAAAAGGTTGATAATTCGTAGTGGTTGATAGACATTAGGAGCTAAAGCTGACAAAATATGTGGTCTGTGGTCTATAAATGTTATTTGATTTTGTATTTTCTTTCATTGAGGGTTGTTAGGTTAAGATTAATCAACTGTTATAATGTGTCTTATATTAGTCCGGTGGTAAAAAGTATTGAAGTTCTTATTTTTTATGATAATACAGAAGGCAAAATCTTGACAAAGAAATTTCAGATTTATAGGTCACTCTGTTTTGTCGTGTGAATGTTTAAAGTTTCAGTGAAAAGCTTATGCTTTCATTTAAGCCATTTCAAGTTGTTAGTTTAGGTTACGTTATTCTGAAAAAAAAAAAAACTAAATTTCTAATGTGCATCTAACACGCCAAAAAGAGATTGTTTTTTACTTTTTTATACACAACAAGTAACTTTACTCTATACATCATAATTATGGGTACAGTAGACAATGGATCCTCCATTTGTTTGTATTTGTCTATATATCTTTAAAAAGATATAAATGTGAATGAAGGTTAGAGTACATATATTTGAGATAAATGAAGAGTACATACATTTTAACATGAGTATTTGGCTGAAAATATATGTAGATTATTGATGCAATCGGGTGGGTGATTTTATTTCCATTTAATATTCTCTGGTTTTCAGCATTTGTTTTTTAACAAGAGATGAATATAGTGTGTAAATGATCTCTTTTAATGGTTTTAGATTGAATCAGTTTTATCAAGTTTCAGCTAACACTCTTTCATGTGGAAGTAACACACTATGGGGTATAGTATGTGAACTACATTGGTGATATAAGTAGGCCAAAACAGTCTTCTAACATGTGTCATCTTGGATTTTACACTTAAGTTGATATTCCGAAGGTTCATATTAAGTTAGTTAAGTTGCAAAAAATAAGATTGTGTATTAGAGTTTGTATGTTTTTTACTAAACCTATCGATTTGGTAGGTTCAAATTAAGTTATTCAAGTTCTATTTCCTTTCCAGAAGAACAAATGCGATCCACCACTTCACCTTTACAATTAGAGAGCCAAACTATGTGCTAGCTGAAATGTGTCTCATGGATTTCTGATAAACTCTTTTTTTCTAAAATGTTTTTTTTTCGGCTGAAAAACAAACGAGCCGGAAATAGTAGTTATAAAGGCAAATTCTAGGAATTATAAGAGTTACAATCGAGCCGGAAATAGTAGTTACAAAGGCAAGCTCTTAGATGTTTAGGGAAGTATATATTTAATAGAGTTACTAACTTATTTAAATTATATAACTACTAGAAGTAAACTTCCTAAATAAACTTATACGTTGTAAATATTTTTACAGTTCTACTAAGGTGTTAGTTACTGACGTGTTAGTTATTGATTAGCTATTGCTTGATAGAGGTGTGGAGGTGGTGTTCTAATGTTTGATTGCAAAAAAGAAGATAACAAAAAGGAGATGACGGAACTTCTGACTTGATGATTTCTAACCAAAAAAATGCTGACAGTGATGTGGTATCCGGATCACAGGGTTAGATGTCCTGTGTGCAGGGGCCGTTTGGTCTGAATGGAGAATTAAGAACCTCTTTGATGGTTTCAAAAGTCTAGGTTGAAGCACAAACAATGGAAGACATTCAGTTCTGAATTTTTCACCCAAACATTATTGGCCGCAAATGTACTGATTTACCCCATGTTGCAATATTGACAATAGCTGCAGTCTCATGCTTTGATGGAGTTGTCTGGTGCTACATCTGAAATATTTCATTCTTTGCACATGAGACTTAATGTATACTTTCTGTTTCACCATCTCAATATTAAGATGAAATTAGATATCACTATGTTAGTTTACTTGATAGATTCAGCTATATCATTATCTTCATACATACTTCTTTATGTCTATAAGAAATAGATACTTTGTTTGTTGGACATACTCAAACAATCGCGCAACGCGTGTATAAAAACTAGTGTTAAAATAATGTTAAACTTGCAAAAGTCACACATACATTTCCACAAGACAATATTTTAGAGGTGAGTCATACCATTTTTGTAAAACAATGTCCATATAGTAAAAAAATGTCACACTATTAATAAAATGGGAAATATAAATCTCACAATTCCTTTTCACGATAGAAATGTGTGGTCTACAACATTTCACTTTATTATACTCAAATATGATACCATTAAATGATATCATATATGAAAGTCAGGGGTCACAATAATACTCCGTGGAGACATTGGTGTGCTGATAATAGAACTATAATTGGAATCTACTTCAGTACTAATAAAAGTAGAGTTATTTCAATTCGAAGGCTAAAACGCTGATTAATTTCTTCACATGTAAATGTGGTAAATATAATTAAAAGCATACTCTAAGCTTTTTGTTAACTATATATATAAATATATATTTAGGTTCTAATGAGAACATCCCTTAAGATGAGATGTGAGAACAAATCCAGGCCATTAAAAATCTCAGTGCATCATCGATCGATTAAGTAGCAGCGAAGGCTATTTTAGTCTCTATAAAAAAGTACCGTTTTGTAACCGAATCTGGAGTAATACGTTCGTCCGAGGCATTGATGGAAGGAATAACTTCCATGTTATTCGATTTTATTTCTTACGTGAATTAAGTTATCCAATTATAGAAACAAAATCTTATTCCTTTTTTGAAATTCTTCATCGTTTATTCTATAAAAAAAATCTTCATCGGTCGTCATATCGTTTTGCTCTCCGTTTGTCTCGGCCTCCATTTGAAGCTCTCGCGTGTGGACTGTACGATGAAGGAAGCCATGGAACCAGGTTTTTATTTTCCAAATTTACGTATCCACTATTATTTTGATCTACGTACGTATTTTATTTGTGGAGATCATGTTTTGTATAAAACCTGTTTCCGTGTAATATATGACTTCTTACAGTAAAAAGATTTCTTTTATGCCGAGAAATATTAACTGTTTTTTGATTTTATAATGGATTTTAGTTTCACACGTTTCACTACCTCATGCATATTTTGCTTGCATGATATGCACATCTACAATTATTGTTTTTTTAACGTAGGAGAATCAAGTCATTGTTAAATTTCTCCTAGTATGACTAATTATTGGATTCCACAATGTCAAAGTGATAGGATGTAACACCCGGCCCCACAAGGTCCGAGATAGTTACTCCAGACCTCTAATACTGTCCTTACAAACCACCACGAGCCTTTACCGCACACTTTGTCCTCACTCATGCGCGCCCTGAGAAACTTCCCAGGGGGTCACCCATCCCATAACTACTCCCGTGCAACCACGCTTAACTTTAGAGTTCTTGGTGATGAGCTTCCTTAAAGGGAGATGCATCTTATTGGTATGAGTAGTACCATTAATCCATTTATATTAAATCTCAAGTGTTACAATCACCCCCACTTAGGAACGCAACATCCTCGTTGCGCCCATAAACCAATCTCAAATCTCAATCAAATCCCAGAATCCTCCCCCGCTAAGTGCCTGCCCGATATCCAACGGGTCAACACACTATCGCAGGGTTGCTCTGATACCACTTGTAATACTTGAGATTTAATATAAATGGGTTAATAGTACTACTCATACAAACAAAATGCATCTCGTTTTAAGGGAGCTCATCCACTAAGAACTCCAAAGTTAAGCGTGCCTGCACGTGTAATACCCGAGATTAATATAAGAGGATTAATAGTACTACTCATACCAACAGAGGTGCATCTCCTTTTAAGGGAGCTCATCACCCAAGAACTCCAAAGTTAAGCGTGCTTGCACGGGAGTAGTCTTGGGATGGGTGACCCCCTGGGAAGTTTCTCAGGGCGCGCATGAGTGAGGACAAAGTGCGCGGTAAAGGCTCGTGGTGGTTTGTGGGGACAGTACTATTGGTCCGGAGTAACTACCTCGGGTCTGGTGGGGCCGGGGTGTTACAGGTGGTATCAGAGCAACCCCGCGACAGTGTGATGACCCGTTGGATATCGGGCGGGCACCTAGCGGGGTTGATTGTTCAGCCCATATCTTGAGCTTCACTCGTTCAAATCAGGCGTGTGAGGTGTCCAGAGAAAGATCTTAAAACAAGGATTCTGGAATGGTGTAGATCGCGACGATCGGAGTTGAGGAAGGCTTCCAAATCTGCGTTGGAAAGTACGACCCTGCACCGGGGTTTCTTCTTCTCTAGAGGTGAGTTGAACCCGAAAACTTCCTCTTCTTTACATAGATCGTATGTAAGGTTTAGGAGGCTATTACACTTTGTTCTTAGGGTAGAAT